TGACAACCCGATAATCATTAAATAAATTCCTATAGCAGATAGTAGCCTAGTTTCATGTTTAATAGTAAAAAGGGCCATTCTATTCACAGAAATTTTAAAAATAATGATTAAATTGATGGCCTATTTATAATGAAAATGTTGGTAATTAAATTTGGGAAACCGGCAGTGTTGTTAAAATAGCGCGCTACTTTTTTCAGTAGCGGTAGCTTTAGCGGGCTACTTTTTTTAGAAAATAGCGATAGCGGTAGCTCGCTACTAATTTAAAAGCGCTACTTCGCTACTTTCAATTTTACATAATAAATACATCTAAAAATTATTAAAATATATTTTTTATTAAATCTAAAAATGATAATCCTTTTATTTTATTTAATTTTGAAATTTATATTTAAAAATATACATTATAAATCTAGTTAGCATTATAAATCTAGTTATTAAAAATGTGTGAGATTGTTGAAGATAGCGAAATTTCTTTGGAAAATGATAAAAATATAGATTATCCTTTCCCAAAATTCAAAAAATAATTTAATCTTGAAGATAAAATTACTACTGGATATCGGTTTCGATGCAAGATGTGTCGCAAAATTTTATCCTCAAATCATACAAGCAGCTTTAATTTGAAAAAACATTTAAAGCTAAATATATTAAACAAATTTAATATCAATGTGTAGGCTAATCCTTAATTTTTAAAATAAATTTAAATCAAAGACCAATCATTTTTTTTATATATTCAATTTTATCTAAATTATTTAAAACATTTTAAAATAGTTATTTCAATAATTTTTATGTAATATCTCCTACATATTTTTTATTCTAAGTATTACTGTTATAATTTTAGACTGTTCACACCTCAAATTATAAATAGATTAAAAAATATCTCAAAAGTTTTGGGGTAATGGAAGGAGATACATCCACTTCCAAATCAAATTTAATTCAAACAAAATTAAGCAATTTGAATTCACCAACACCAGGTGTATCTCAAAAATTGGCTGACAAAGTCATAATGAACTTTATAATAGTAACTGTTCAACCATTATCCTTGATGGATAATGGTTCTTTTATAAAGATGATAAACACTTTTTCTCCACGTACCAAGATATTTTGCGGGCAGACATTGATGGCAAGAATTTTGGATAGCTTTATAGAAAGAAAGAATCTTTAATATTAAATCTATCAGATGTCTCCTATATCTGTACAACATCAGATTGTTGTACACACAATAGAAGGTATTTATTTTCTGATTTATAATATGATATTCATATTTTTAGAGCTTATTTAGGAGTGACCACACATTGGATTGATCCAAAAAATCTAAAACTGAATCTAAAGGGCAACTTGATAGGCTGATGGTAATGTTAAAAAATGCCATGCCTAACCACGATACTAATACTATAGCAAGATCAAAACCGCAGCCTTCCATAGACGATTTTTTTGAAATAAATAATAATAATATTATTGAACCTCTAGATGCCTTTTTTAAATCTAAAAATAGTCATTTAAATATCTTTGATGATTTTTTTCATATAAAAAGTGTGTTTATTAAATTTAATACTGCGTTACCCTCAAGTGCTTGTGCTGAACGATTATTTAGTATGGCAAAGCTTATACTTTCTGATCGTCGAGTACAAAATGTTATTATTAAAGGGCAATATTAAATAAATTATATGTATATATATGTAACAAATTATAGTCATGTTTTTATACCAATATTTTATTTGTGGAAATAAAGTTATGTAAAAAATATTTTTAAAAAAAACCAAAATAGCGTAAAAAGTAGCTTTAGCTACTTTTTTTTAAATGTAGCTAATAGCGCGCTATTTTTTTTTATAAAATAGTGGTAGCGATAGCGCGCTACTTTTAAAAGTAGCGTTTAACAACACTGGAAACCGGTTACTTTATCAAAATTAGACTATTATAGTGATATTTCAAAACTTGATAATATAATACAAATATTAAAACTATTTAAACAAAGAGTAGACAGAATCAATAATTATATTTAAAATCCTTAATAATATATTCGGTAAATTATAACTACCTCCAAATTTTAAATCTAAATTGTGTTCTTAAACAAAATTAATCTTAAGTTTTATTTAGCATAATCAATTTTTTAATATAAAATACTTTAGTGATAAAAAATACAAATTAAGGAATAATGAAATGTGTTTTCTTTTACTTATATAATATTTGACATATTAACCTAAAATGTAACGATATTTTGAATGTAAATTTTTTTTAAAATATTTTAATCCTCTACGTTTTGTACTTTTTACCTTATATTATAGAATAATTTAGTTTCTAGCGTTTTTAATAACGTAAAATATATAATGCACATTACCATCACGAGAAGTGAAAGTATAAGTGTGTAAAAATATAATTCACATAATAAGGATATTTATTGTATGCATGCAATACATGTTTAACTTGAAACCTGCTAAATATTTTCAAAAAATTATTATTCCTTGATAAATTTATATATACAAAAAATTTGTTTGGGCCGAACTTAAAAATATTTTAATTTGGTACTTAAAACTTCAATTTTGTTTAATAAATTAAAAGATTTTTCCCATAAACACTCTTTTACAATGTTCTAACTAGTAACCTAAATTGATTTTTAATTTTAACCGCTACAAATATGAAATTAGTAAGGAATCTCTTGCTCATGTTGAAAAAATTATTTAAGCTTCTATAATTTTTGTTAGAATTTGACAATTATACCTGGAATTCGGTCTTTAATGAAAAATGATATTCCTGTCCATAAGCCAAAATCTTAATACTGAGAAATTTAAAATTTTATTGTAAATATAAAATAAAATAATATATTCAATAGGATTCAGTAAATTTGCTTTATTACATTTTTAATATATTTTATCAATAATGATTTGTAGGGAATTTACATCAAATATTAAATGATGAATTAACATTATTCGATTATAAACATTTTATTGCGCAAAATTTGGGGTTTCTTATAATGTTCCTCATGTTCTGTAATAAGCAAGATCAATGAAAGATAGATAGATAATCATTAACTTTAAAAGTGAGAATTAACAGATCAGATCGCTCAACTTTAATAATCATGATGTTCAGAATTCATTAAGATGTTATGAATTAGGTTTAAAAATTGATATTTCATTCCCCTTTCATCTTCTTTTCTTTAATAGTTAATCATAGAATTTTATTTCTTAATAGGTTTATATAAGGCGCAAACCAAAAATCGCTAGTAGGTAAAAATGCTGATTCTGAAGGATCAAAAGTAAATAAAAAACCAAATATAAAGATAAAAGTTAGGTTTTTTTATAAAATAGGATCCATTTTTATAAGAGCAGAACAAATTATTCCAGAATTTTTTGGTTCAAGACTTAGGTATAAAAATTAAATTTGCTCATTTAATATAATTAAGAATAAGATAACTAACTACTTGTGGTCTGCTATACCTGGGGTAATCTCTCAAAAAAATATATTGGCCGAGGCTGACAAAATTCCTGGCCTACTTAAGGATTAGAGAATATAAATTATTCTAAAGCCTAATTTTATTAAAATAATATTTGTGGCTTAAAATTTTAATGATGACAAAGGGTATAATTATTAACAGAAAGAATGCATACTTTGTCATGTATTATACTTGATGAATTTTTAATAGAAGTGATAATCCATAAAGTAGAGTGTTTTTAACTACTCTCCAATATTATAGTTGTTTGCCTTATATTTTAAAAAACCGGGCGGCAACTCTAGTAAAAAAATAAAACCGGGCCAGGCAAACTTAGTGAAAAATTGAAAACGGGTCGGGTCTCGCAAAAATAAATCCACAGGACTGGCCTGAGAATTTTGCTTGCAGACCATTGATAACTACAGTCCACATATACAAATTTATAGTAACATAAAAAATATATAAATTTTAAAACCCACTGTTAAAAAATTGATATTGGGAAAAATTAAATATATACTCTCTCTATAATCCTAAATATCTAAAAAAAACTGTTTGAGATAACAAAATTAATTTTTTAAATGCCTAAAAATAATATGAAAACGTAGAATTTTGAATTTTTTTAAAAAAAATCAGGGTGCCTTTTCTGAGATATATCGATTTTCGTCATTCTATTACCGGTTTAAAGCCATTTTTCAAAATATATTATTTTAATATAATTTGAAAGCTAATATTATGAGATGTCTGATCTTTATTCATATTTAATATATTGAAAATAAAAAATGTCCACATCACATCTATGCCTGTAGGCATCAAAACCAAAACTAATGGCAAATTAATACTCTTCAATGGCATATTGCACATACCTAATTTCATTAAATTCAAGGGAGATCGCCATAAATTGTTTTCTCCAATTTGATATAAAATTGCTCTAAATATAGTCTTATTAGTAATAGTCTTTTTTTCAAACACAGTATCCTTTTTCAATGCTAATTAGAAGATAAAACGACATTATGCCTTTGAAATGAGTCAATGTGTATTTGAATAAGTACTATTATGTGACTAAAAAGCTATATATTATTATATTAGCATCATAACTTAGGTACATTACAAATAAGAAAAATCCTTTCTCAACAGGTTTGTTTGATCATTTAAAATAATATTTTTGACCAAGAGGTTTTAACCCTCTAACATTCCCTCTAGATATGCCTATAAATAAGGTCTGATTAAAATGATAAATGCTATTCTTCAACCATAGGGTAAAGGGGGGATTAGTCATTAAAATTAGGGAGTATGGAGTTAAAAAAAGGCTAGTCATAAAAAGAGTGAGTATTTACAAAGAGAATGGGGGGAGTGCCAATTTAGATTTCTTTTGATGCTGATGATTTCCTTCTTTTTTAGGTATGGGGCGGTAATATCTTCATTTGCAGAGAGAGTAATAAACCAACTTCTTATAAATATTTGACTTATATCTTTAAAAAAGGTATATACTACTATATAAACTATTCAATTCATGATTTGATATTGCAGCCTGATATACAAAAATATATCATAAAGAAAATAAGAATAAAAAATAATTTACTTGAATTTTCGTTTCTAGTGCAAGTGCTTGAAACTCATTTTCAAAATCGGGGACGGGTAAATTTCGGGGCTAAAAAATTATGATAAAAATTAAATATTTTTAAGGAATTCTAAAATCCTGGGAAATTCAATTTCTAATCTATTGCAGCTATAAAGAGTTAATTAATATTTAATTAAAATATGGCAAATTTAATTGACTATCAGGGTATAAAAATCATTTGATTTAAATCACGACTCTAATCAAGTCTTTTAAAAATCAAAATCGTTTTTATTAAATTTTAAACTTACTCCTATAATTTTGTTTATTTTAATATAGTATATTATTTTATTTAAATATAAACTAGTTATTAATAAAACACGGGTTTTTAAAATTTTTTTACTAACCAGAAGCCTGAATCCTTTTAAAAAAATTTAACAACCCAATAAATCGGACCGATTCAAGAAAAAAAAAATTGAAAATGGGGTCTACAGAATTAGAAACGAAATCTAATCTAATTAAATTTGTCCGCCAACAGTCCCGTCTCATTAAATTTTTTGGATTATGGAGCAGTCAGAACCGGTCCTGGTCGACCTTTACTAAACCCGAACCGTACCTGATCTTACCTAGGTTAGAATGGTTTAGTTCATTTATATTAAAAATTATTATTTCAGGATTTATAATAGATATACGGTGATCTTGTATATAATTTTTGGACATCTATTCATTTAAAATTTAATTTATATCAAACAAATATTGGATAATGGATTTCAAAAAATCATGCACTTTAATCTGCACTTAGTTGTCTTATAAAAAATGAAATATCACAAAATGGAGATAAGATATCAAGAGAAGTTAATCCTCTTGAAAACCTTAACAGCTTGATATTCTAACTCTTATAACAATTATTAATGAGTATCGGGTTATTCCATATCAAATCAATCACTTTACAACCCCGCCATCTCAGAATTTTGCTAAAATTAGGTATATAAGTTAATGAAGTGTGGTAATTGACGAATCCAAAATATTAGCCATTTCACTCTATTACAACAGGAGATATAAGATCCCAAAGTTGCTCTGCTTGGCCATTTTTCTAGAAAATATAATTTTTTAATAATGGGATAACTTTAATATTAGAGTCACATATATATATATATATATATCATGGATCATTCTGCAGCCCTAAGTAAACTTTTCCAAGTATTTTAAACAAAACTAATTTTAATTTATAAATTTTTTTCTCCAAATTTCAGATATTTTGTAAAGAGTACCAAGAACTGTTCATATAAAAATTTTCAGTGGTAAAAAAAAAGTTAAGTAGGAAAAATGCTTGAAATAAAAATACCGCTAGGTAGCATTAAAGTTTAAAATAGCGTTAAAATTAATTTTTGAAAGTATAAGTCAATCTATATAAAATTTCCGCTAGATAGCGTAAGTAATGCTAAAAACCTCATTTTTGTAAAATCATTAGATGTTTTTATTTATTCGATAATATTTATTGTATTATTAATTCATAGTAAAATTACTTATAATATAGAAGCTTAGTTATATTGATTTCCTTAAATTTAATTTGTATATGGCCATTTCGAATTCTTCACGAGTTAAATTAAAAGTTCGTCCTGTAGTGGTCAAAAGGTTGACAACAGTTAGAATATAATTTTTTGGAAGAAGCATATCAGGTATTTAAGGATAATAAAAGGAATTAGAAAGTCCATTAGGGTGTAAAAATATTACCTTTACCTCATCAGCACTAATAATCGCTAGCATATAGGCCACCGCCATTCATTATCATAAAAGCATGTTACATACCCTTTTATATCTTTGGTTGATATCTCGCCTATTCGATTTTTAATATTTTGTGGTGTGGTTTGAACAGCACTGGAATATTTTTTTGTAATTATTTGTGATAAGCTAACAAAGATAAACTACATGAATTTTTTGAGTTCCAGGAATGGAAAGAGCTTTTGAAAACTGATCCTTTAAAAATTCTTACTCCTCTTGGTATTTTTCATGGGATGTATAAGAAAAATGTATATTTTTTATGTTTTCCTCGGCGAATTTGAAGAAATCGCAAGGGGAATTTATTTGATTTCATAAGGTGTTGTATACTGGCCCGTGCAGCTAAGCGTTTCACAGTTCCTCTTCCATCGCAAGCATATTTCCCATGCGCAGTATCAAAGAAATCTCATTCTGCTGGGGATGATAACACAAATTTATAAAATTTTTCTATATCGGAACAATAATAAATGTATTTAGGCTCCGGTAAAAAGTAATTTTTTAGAAAGTTTATTAATTTTTTATGAAATAAGCAGTTTTATCTTCCAGCGAATCAGATATGGCAACATAACTTTGATTGTAATATATTACAAAGGGATATAGGGTGACCTGGGAAGTGGTCCAGTTAATTTTCAGAAAAATCACATATTACCATATAATGAAATTTAAATCATTAGCCATTTTTTTAAATTACTTGCGCTACCTAGCGAAAATTTTATTTTTGTGCCAAAATGCGATTTTATACAACAAATATTATATTAGGGAATATAAAAAAAGGTAAATTAACTTATATTTTCAAAATAAAATTTTAAGCTATTTAAAATTATTAATGCCATCTAGCGGTATTTTTATTTTAAGCATTTTTCCTACTTAACTTTTTTTTACCACTGAAAATTTTTATATGAACAGTTCTAGGTACTCTTTACAAAATATCTGAAATTTGGAAGAAAAAAAATTCATATTAACATTTAAAAAAATTAATTACAAATTTTTGACCGCACTTAAAAAAAAATATATAAATTAATTTTAGGGCTACAAAATGAGCCATAGTAGATATATATAGTGCATCTAATGGAAATCCCAATTTTAAAAAATCATTTTTTTCGAAAAATGACCAAGCAGAGTCACTTCGAAACCCTATATCTTCGGTTCTAGTAAAATTAAGGGGCTAATATATTGGATTCGTCAATTACAACACTTCATTAACTTATATACCTAATTAGCAAAATCTGAGATAGTCGGGTTGGGTTGTAAAGTGATTGATTTTTTCAACATATTTTTGTACATTGCTATTTGATAGTAACAGAAATGTATTCTTTCTCTTTATAAATATAATTTGACAAAAGAAAGAGGATTGTAAATATTATTTTTTAAATAAGATAAAATTTAAAAAATGTGTATATCATTATATAATTCTAACATTTCCAAAAAATCAAACGTGTTCGTGTTCAACGTTCATTGGTAAAAATCGATGGGTTCATGTTGTTCAAAATTTTCGGAATAATTATTTTTCATTTAATATTTAATCTAATATAAATAAATATCATATATTCTTTAGTCATATTTAAAATCTGGGTCTCTTATGAAGATCAAAAAATTTAGGAAATGAGGGGGGGGGGGGGGCAGGAGGACAAATCCCCCCAAAAAATACAGATGCCGGATATATTTTTCAAAAATATTATTGTTTATATTAATTTATATTTGCTAATATTTATTCCTATCTAATATTAAATATATATTTATATTTATCACATTCATCTATTATTTTATCAATTAATTTCGATTTCAAGTTTTCCTTGGCGTAATATTTACCTATTATTTAAAAAATTCTAGTGGCGTAATATTTATCTACCATTTTCAAATTTCTAGTCAAATAATAATTATTCTGAAACTCCTTGTCCATCAGGGAGAATCAAATTGCAAGCTTGTCCAACGAGATGGAGTCTCCGCATCAAGCAGTAACAGCTTTAATGGAGTTAGAAGATATGATTATTAATGCTATTACTGAAACATCACGATGGCCTGTCCTCAGAAGCAAGAAAATTATTGGATTCAATACTTTTTCCAATTTTTTTTCTCATTAGAATGTATTATTTAATTTTACAACTATTTATATAATACTTTTCAAAAACATGACATTGAATTGATTAAGAAGATGAGAATAGCGGAGTGCATTTTATTAAAACTCAAGGAAATTATGGCTAATGTTGATGAAGAATTTCATATTTTATGTTATTGTTGAGTCAAAAGCAGAACTATACGTGTTTAATATTTGTCTCCCTCGACTTGCAGCAAGCTCATCGTCAAAACATTATTATAGAATCATTAAAAGAGTATTATAAAACAAATGCCCCCTCTTTTAGATACATTATAACCCAAATAAATGAATGGTTTTTAATTCATCATGCAGCACTTACCAATCTCCAAATATTACTTCCACAAATGCCTGTCCAACGTTTTTCAGATGGTGATATAAAAAATAGAATATTTAGATTTTTATCATGGATATTAAAGTATCTTATGATGCCTTATTAGCTGAATATATGGTTGATATAGTCCCAAAAAATGCTATTGATGCTTTGCATCTTAAACACATTTTAGATTATATTTCCAATGTATTAAAATGGTTCTATATATATTAGCAACTCTTCCAGTAGTAAACTAATAAGAGAACATTCTCTTTTTTAAGAGATAACAGAGCCCTGCAGATGTTAAGAGATAACAGAGCCCTGCAGAGGTGCCATTTGCAGGGCACGGCCCGGATTTTTTTTTCAAAATTTTTTTCGACTCGGCCTGGTTTTTTTTAAAAAAAAATTCAGGCCCGGTCCGGTTTATTTTTAAATAAAATTTTATATTTATTTTTGATTTTATAGCTAATAATGGCGATTTCAAATATTTGGTTTTAAAATATTCAGCCGGGCCTGGATATTAAAATATTTTTCAAATTTCGGGCCCAGCCTGGGTATCAGGTCTTTGAAAAATATACCTAAGAAGTACAACTTCTGAAAGTAGATTGAATGGTTTGGATATTTTGAATATTCATACGCATTTGACGCCAAGCAAGGATGAGATAATTGAAAATTATCTCAATCCTAATGAAGATTGGATTTTACATTGTAAATATATAACATACAATTAACAATTATTCCTAACAAACTTTTTGTGTATTAATTTAGATTTACAACATTTAAATTTTTTATACTTTCATAAATTTTAAAGGCTCAAAAAATTCGAATTTCTATTTTGCGTCATTTAAGTGATTCAATGGTGGTTATATTCACTTTATATTTTATAATTCACATTTATTTTATAGTTTT